AACAGACTGTGCAGGATGAGTGGAGTCCTTCATGATGCGGAGCGCCCTCCCCCGTATCACAATGTGTAGAGGTTCGAGGTGGTGTGAAGGCTGCTCCCCACAGTCTTCTGTGCAGCTTTAACCACCTCTGCAGAGCCATCCTCTCAGCGGCAGTGCAGCTGCCGTGCCACACGGTGATGCAGCCGCAGAGAACGCTCTCCACCACATAGAGATAGAAGCTCCTCAGAACAGAGCTTCCAAGTCCAGCTCTCTGCAGCTTCCTGAGGAAGTAGAGATGCTGGTGGGCCTTCTTGACCAGACAGGAAGTGTTGGCTCTCCAGGTGAGTTCACTGGATATAAGTAGACCATTCAATCCCTCTATTCTTTGATGTTCATATTTCTACAGACGAGCTGCGGACGGCCTGGTCCTGTGGCTCGTCTTCGTTTTGGCACTGGTTGATGCTCCAGCTCACCCTCCTCTTCAAAGTCACGGTCAGACTCTGAATGAGCAGAAACGTGATTCGTGCATTTCTGAACATTCTTCCTCTTCATCAACAGCTACGTTCGCTCGTCAAAAATTGACTGGCCTTGAAATTTACAGAAATGTTAAAAAATAAAACTTTCCATTTCCTCGTATACATTTAAACCATAAAGGCACAAATTCTTGAAACACCCTTTAAGTTAACTACATGGAGACATACTTTGGTGTATTTAGGCGAGTTTCACTTTTTACAGTTTGAAACTGCGGACTGAAAAAGTTTGCGTGGGGGTAAGCACATTCTCAGCGATACATGAGGCCCCTGAACACCAAACAAGATTAAGAATATTTATTACTTATAATATTTTTATAGATTCAAATTTTCAAAGTGATACAGTATGTAAAAGTTATATATTCAACATTTCACTAAATGCAAACATCCCTACTACTCTTTTTTTCCCAAAGAAAATAAAGTTGTGATGTTAGATAAATTAATTAAAAAGTATTACTGCTCCCCTTGTCTCCCTTCTCTTCGTAACATCATTCACTGGAAAGTGACTCATCGCTTCTCTCCTGACCCCTTCAGTTTTATGCAGCGTCAGCCACGAAATCAACCAAGAGCAATTAGAAGAAGATGATGTAGCTGATGTGCAGACAGCACAAAGTAAAGTACATGCAGGTCTGATGGACAGTAACCATCTTCATGAAGTCTACATTACGTAAGGAGACTTGGCTTGTACAGAGCTGTAGCGTAAACATTATAGGAGTAAAACTGCTTTCTTTGTTTTTCATATAGAGCTTAAATAAGCATCAAGGAAAATAATCATTAACGTCACTTTAAAGCTCAAATTCAGATCTTTTGAAATGATCTGTAGAAAGGTTATTTAAGTCTGTTCATTTATATAGAGCCAATTCACAACAAATGTCAATTCAGGGCACTAAACAAAAAATGAGTATGACCAAGTAATAATTGTAGTTTTAAACAGCCAATTCAATCCAATGCTGTCAGAATCAACATATATTTAAAAAAAGCCAATTAGTAAGTAGTTGCATATGTAATGAATAGATTAATATAAACAGCCAGTGGTTATTGTGACAGAAATATGATATTTCTGTTGGAAGTGCTACAGCTAGTTGCTGCCGAGTATAGAATGATATTTGTGGGCATTTTTCTCCCTGATACGTTCCATATCTACAACGTAGTGGACAATGGAGCGCAGAATAAATCTATGACAGGACAAAGACATAGGGACTTTTTTTTTTTTTAAAGACAATACTTTAAACCCTGCGTTCTTATTCACTCACTCAAACAAGGATAATTAATGGGCCATTGAGGGTCCAGCCTTCTAATAAATCATCATCGATCATTTAAAAACATTCATGAGTTCATGAATCACAGCCTTTGTGACCAAGTATGTGGTTGTCTCCAGCAATATTAGTACAACTAGCAGGGACAATGACAGAGACAGACAACCCTACAGTGTAATTAAGTTCAAGTATTTCATTTCCATTCAGACATCCATTTTTTCTTTAATGGTTATTAAATAGGTAAAATCTTTAGTCTGGTGGATCTTCTATCATGTACAATGTTTTATTCAGCAGGTTGCATTCTTTTATCTCTGAACAGTCTATTGAAATTAGCTTCACTCTTCACATCTTTCAGTGTCAGCAGCTTTTGTAAACACAACCACTAGATGGTGGCAGTCCCTTGTCTGGTGATACATAAAATAATACAACATACCCAACAGGGCAAGCCTAAAACAATTAAGTGTGGAGGACAAAGAGCAAAGAAAACCCAACCTTGAATAACTGAATAACAATGTCCCTACTTGAGTACAATAATAGGCGTTTAAATGTGTATATTTAAAAATGCACAAACACATTGTTGTCCATCGGCGTCAGCGTTTAATGACGAACAGGTGGAACCAAAAGGGGAACAAACAAACACAAATGTGCGTTCGGCTGCAGGACACCTGATCATGCTTTACAGGTTTTCCTAAATAGATTTCTCCAATTCAAGCAGACAAGTTCCTAATGAACGAGCAGTGATAAAACTTACTGAAACCATGTGGCTGTTTCAGTCGTAAATTACAGCCCTGATGTGTTGACCTATTGCCAAGAATGTATGATAGGCAGAGGTGATGCCTACAGCATTAATCATTAGCTCTTGTATCACTAGAAGTCAAATCAACTTTCTCCATTCCGTTACACACAGAGCATTACGTTAAATCGACTGCACATAAATGTGACGTGTGGGAAACACCTTGAAATATAGTTGTGATATGGGACGTAGCTGATGCAACAACTAGAACAGTGTTTTTACCATTTTTCACGCCAGAGTTCTGCTGGCAGCAGAGGGACTCACCCAGCTGGGATGCTCCTGTTCTCTGTGGGCGCTGCGACTCCTCACCTTGGAGAGACTCGCCTCCGCAGCACTGTTGGAAGGCGCAGATCGTCGGGACATGCTCCGAGACCTCATCCTGTTGAACTCCTAACACCATACAGAAACCAAAGTTAAGCACATGTTTAACAAAAGCTTTCCTTGAAACATGTTTACTGCAATCCATTGTTTCCCCAACCATTATTCAAGGAGGGCACCCCACCCCGTCAACAGAACCGAGCGCCCCGCCTACCAAAATCCCCCACGCAGCTCTGCCACTTCCAGATGGGAAGCGGAGATTGTAGCAACTCAGCTCCGCCTCTAAACCACAACAACCACGCACAATACAAACGTAGAGCTATGCTATCAACTACCAACCTCCACCGACAACTGCCAGCACCGACGTAGCGCTACGTTAACCCGCACCACCCCTCGTCAACAAACCCCTGAAGAGACGAGCGCCCTCCCAAGGCAATAATCTAGAGGAAACACTGTGGATCCAAAACAGTTACCATATTTTCTGGCGTACAAGTCACAGTACTTTTTTACATAGGTTTGTCAGTCCTGTAACTTATATGCCAAAGCAACTTATACTTTTTTCCTCCCAAATTCATGATGCAATTTTTGACTGACGCTTTAAATTTCAAAGAACTGCAACAGCGAGTCCTCCCGTGCACGCTCGATTCACTCAACTGGGGCAGGCGGAGGAACGCTGGAGAGCTCGCTACTCCGGCCGCAATGGATTGATGGATGGAGCCACGCCGCCCAGGTGAAATGAAGCTCTTTTGACCATTAAAGTGCATTTATTAAGGAAACGTTAAACTGAGACACACCTCTGCTATAATGTCGAGCAAACAAATAATTGTTTTTGAGTGTTAAACTTGTTCAATTTCAAAGAACTGCAACAGCGAGTCCTCCTGTGCACGCTCGATTCACTCAGTTGGTGCAAGTGGAGGAACACTGGAGAGCTAGTGGATCTGGTCACAATGGATGGATGGATGGATGGATGGATGGATGGATGGAGCCACGCCTCCCAGGTGAAATGAAGCTGTTTTGACCATTAAATAAATGCGACTTATACGCTGGAAAATATGGTAATTTACAATGAAACCAACAAGTGAGCATTCGTTTTTTAAATGTTCGTGTGAAACAACTAATCTTTAGTATCTTGCAAAGCTTGTAAATGTTAGACATTAATCAAACTGTTTAATCAATAATCAACAATTGTATATATATTTTTTATTATTCTTGTGTATATTTTCATGCTGCGTAATGAAAAGCTTTTCACATAAAAAAATAAAAATAAAAAAAAAACTTCTGTTATCTCAGCTAAACTTACACAACTTTCGGTCCAAGTTTTATATAGCAGAAAATCTCAGAGGTTTTACTTTGGATGTGGCTCTGCTACTTTTCACTTTGCTGTGCTGTGAAATCTGGATTCACTCCGTACTGAAACACTCTGAAGTGCATGAGCCTTTAGGTTTATTGGATAAGACACGCATCCTTTTTTATATAGTTTAGTCCGAGAAGAGAGAGAGAGAGAGGGGCTGCTGCAGCTTTGTAATACTGAGGCTGCAGGTTTGAGCAGAGTAAAAACATCAGGTAAAATTATCACCAAATCTTTTGTGCAAGTCTGCTCACTGTGGCGACCCGAAGAAGGGAGCAGCCGAAAGAAGCCTTTTTTTTATTTTTATAAATCGGAGAAAGGCATGAATTTATCAATAATGGGTATCCAAAAAATTAGGAGTACACAGATGTGTATGACAGCTGTTTGCTCAGTAAACAGAGTGCAGATAGCCTGATCCTGTCCTCGAAGGTAAATAATGGTGAATCTTATCTGCATCAAGCAGCTGAAGTCTCTCAGTTTAAACAAAAAGTCCTTCAAAAATAAATTGAGAAAAGAACCACCATCAATTTGCTCAGATAACCAGCTTGATATCCTGCTCCAGCGAGCACCTCTTCTCCTCTATCAAAATAAAAGCGTTCTCTGAATAATGCAAGCAGAGCATCTGGACTTCATTTAACAAACTTTGAGCTTTATTTTGAACAGAGAATTGTCCATTTGAGGCTGAATCACTAGAACCAAATGTACATATCAAATATAAACCTGGACTGTTCTGTGATAAAATAACTTCTAGTGTTTTACATCAAGAAGGGTCATTTCTATTGAAATATTTCCATACACCCCAAAGTCTGACAAAGACAACAGATAGTCATTCAGTCACATCGCTTAAAATGTAATGTGCTCACCTGGGATCCATGGGACCTCCTGTGGTTCGGGGTCTCTCCTCTGCTCTTTTGCGGAGACTGAAGCTCTCTTGGGAGCCAGACCTGCTCTCCAGGAATGCTGCCGGACACTTCACGAGATGTGTTCACAGATTTGGGGTCTGTTCCTGGTGAAGGAGCTGAGAAGGAAGACTCGTTGAAGAAAGCAGTCCAGGTCCTCTGTGGATTTGGGAGCCGTTCCTCCTGCTTGATGAGCAGCTCCTCTGGGCTGAGCTTGTTGGTGGGTTTTTTGGTCTCAAAAGGTTTAACTGCTGGCATCTCAACAGGTCGTAGCTCCCAAGGATCCTGAGGAGATGCTGTCCATACTGGGCTCGAGAACCCAACTGAAGTCTGTGATGGTAGCTTCCAGTTAACCTCTCTTTCAGGTGTGAGCTGTAGCCTGGTTTCTGCATCTAGTCCCTGAATACCAGACACGGCCAACAATTCTTTACTTGGAGAGGGGTGAGCTTGAGGCGTAAAGGAGTCTATGTCAAGAATGGCAGGTTTGTAAGGCTCCCTCCAGCGTGGGTCACTGCGAGGAGAAGAAGGCTTAGACAACAAGTCATTTCTGAGCACTGAGTCCAGATCAAGAACTTTGGGCCTGAGGTCCAACGACTCCAACCTGAGCCTCTCCTGCTCCTCTTTCTTCTGCTTCTCTTTTATCCTCTGTCTTTCTGCTTCTTGCTGTTTGGCAATTTGTCTCATTCTCTCCGCCTCTTCCTTTTCCATCTTCTCCATTAGTCTGCGTTTCTCAAGCTCTAAATTTTGTTTTTCTCTCTCCGACTGTTTTTGCTTCTCAAACTCCATTAGCTGCCTTTTCTCTATCTCTTTGAGACTCTCCAACTCCTCCTTCCTCCTCCTTTCCTTCTCCTGTTCTCGTCTCAGCCTCTCGTTCTCCAGCTGCTGCCTCTCAACGTCCAGTTGTCTCTGTTTCTCCCTTTCCAAATCTTGTTGTCTTTGTCTCTCCAGCTCTTTCTGCATTTTCCATTCGATCTCCTTTTGTCTAACTCTCTCCTTTTCAAGCTCCTTTATCCTGAACATTTCTTGTTCTAAGGAGATCTGTCTCAGTTTCTCAGCTTCTTTCTCTGCCTTTTCTTTTTGTCTCTGCTTCTCTAACTCTATGAGTTGTTGCATCTCCTTTTCTTTCTGCTTCTGAAACTCTAAAACTTGTTGTTTCTCCAGCGCTTTAACTCTCTCCATCTCCATGATCTGTTTTTCCTTGTCCAACTGTCTCTGCTTCTCTTCCTCCTTTTGTCTCTGCCTTTCCTTTTCATGCTCTCGTTGTCTCTGTTTGTCCAGCTCTCTCTGCTTTTCCCTCTCAATCTCTTTCTGACGCTCAATCTCCATCTCCTTTTCTTTAGCCCTCTCTTCTTCAAGTTCTTTCATTTTTAACAGTTCTTGTTCTAATGCCATCAGTCTAAGTTTCTCGGCTTCTTTCTCTGCCTTTTCTCTTCGTTTCTGTTTTTCGAACTCGACAAGTTGCTGCATCTCCTTTTCCTTCTGCTTCAGTTTTTGAAACTCCAACATTTGTTGTCTCTCCATCTCTTTCATTCTCTCCATCTCCTGCATTAAATGCTTCGTCTTCTCTATCTCTCTCTGCCTCTCTTCTTCCCTTTGTTTTTGCTTCTCCTTTTCACGCTTTTTGTCCCTTTCTACCTCCATCTTCATCTCCAGTTCTTCTTGTTCTTTCTGGAGTTGCCGCTGTTTCTCTCTTTCAATGTCTCTCTGTTTTTTCTTCTCCAACTCTTGCAGTCTTTGGTTCTCGAGCTCAGTCTGTTTCTGTCTTTCCAACGCGCGCTCTTTTTCCTCAAATTCTTTTCTCTCCTTTTCCAACGCTTCCTGTCTTTGCCTTTCAAGTTCTCTTTGCATCTCCCACTCCTTTATTCGTTGTTTCTCTATCTCCATCTGCTTTAGTGTTTCCTTTTCAATCTCTTTAACTTTAGCTCTGTATCTTTCTGCCTCATTCTTTTGCTCCCTCTTCTTGTCAGCATCTATTTTTTCTTCCCTGCTTTGTTCGTTTATCTGTGACCTGACGTCCAAGGATGAGGTATGGCTGCTGGGCATCAGTTCATCAAACATCTCATGAGGTTGAGAAGTTTTCCTAAAGGTTTCTTCTTGTGCGGGATTCCATCTTGCAGGAAAAGCTTTTCCTTGTGAGCCACTGAGAGCCGACCTAACAGAGAAGTCATCAAAGAGCGCAGACATGTCCACAGACTTTGTTCCTCCATCTCCAGGAGAAGGCAGCTCCTGCATTTGTCCTGTCAAAGCAAAATATGTAGCTCTGGGTTTTGCTTGTTCTTCTGCCTTCAGGAATTTTGATGGTTTAGAGGATGCAGACACTTCATCCTGATATGCCGCTCTTTGTCTGTCTCGCTCTTTATCCAAAGCCCACTGTCCTTCCCATTCCGATTGATTTAATGTCCCTTTATCAAGACCTGCATCTTCATCGAGATATGCGTCAGCCCACTTTTGTAAAGCTCCTATTCTGAGATATCGTGGCTGCGATTCTGGTCTCAGTGCTGAAGCTGGCTGTGTTTGTGTTGGTTCATTCCTCTCCACCACCAGTCTGTTCGCCTCGGAGCGTCTGGATCGGAGGGTCGTGGCCTTGTCTTCCCACTGAGCTACTGGGATACTCTCACTCACTGCCCTGTTCTGTTCAACTGCCTGCATGGTGTCAAATGCATGCGACACCCGGAGAGGACTTGATGGAGATATGGGTTCCTTGTAGGTGGCTGTGACCAGAGTTCCTTTGTCCTCTACTTCTTCCTTTGTGCATGAATCCATGGCTGTATTTGCAGATTTGCCCTGGTCCATCATCAACACCCTTTGCTTCTCCACAACATTTTCAAATAAGGACGCCCGCACGGTGTGCGCTTCACCACCAGCACCACTTTCCTTGGAAGCAGCCCATAGCTGCCCGGCCTCAAAACCTTCACTTGTGGAGACCTTTTTGAGCTGCTCTGGAGTCTCTTTCAAATCCACAAACACCTTGTGGTCATTGGGAGTGACAGCTGACTCTTCAGTCTACAAAAAACAATACATACAGTAAGAAAACACAAATACATAGCTGATAGTTAGATCTTATATGCTTATGGTGGGCTTGTCCATTCAACAAATTTCTCCTAAATTTATCATCATGGCAGGTAACGGTACACACTTCTTTAAAAAAACAATCTTGTGAAAAAAATGCACACTTTAAAAACAGCTCATCGGATTGGAAAACATCCCATCGTAAAAAAAAAAAAAAAACTTTTCCATTTTGTTCCTCCGGAAATGACGGCAGCCCTACTGAGACAACATCTATCCTGTTGCTGAACTTCATTTGAAAGTCTAAACCAATTTATTCATGACTCTAGCAGACAATATGTGGTTTATGCAGCTAACGAGTAAATCTTTGCGAACACAAAAATATATTGGAATAATAAACGTAGGTTCAGAATCAATCTTTAAATACATTATTAAATTAATTTACCATGTAAGCAGATCATATTTGTTATCATTGCAGCAATCAACAAATGTGATTTGTCAACAGAATAAGAATCAACACATCAATTGTCAGTAAATATCTTGTTTTATAAGGGTTTTGACTTTCTGAGAGTCATAAGAACTGCTGGCTCCACAAAAAGAGCAGGCATCAGAACACGTCTCCTAAATGTTTCCATTCACAGCATCAAATAAATACTGTGATAACAGTCAGTCCGTAATTAAAACAATACTCGCGCCGGTGTGCAGGACTCCTCAACAATCCTAACAAATCCTATAATTGAAGTTGTGTGTTTGCTTTGTGTAATGCACTAAATAAAAAGGGTGTTTTTAAGGTTATGAGCATCAAATGGCAAGGAGCGCTATGAGGCAACAAACACCTGTGAAAGATTGTACTTTAATGTCAGAGGCTGAGAGAAGAGCACATCTCAACTTCAATCTGAGTGAAACACTTTCTTTCATGGAATGAACAAAACAATTACCAGGAAATAAATGGTGCTTACATGCTCAACACGTTAAACATTAATGGATAAATATAATGATGTTAAACATTCAGCATGCATGCATACTTTGCTTATTTCTCAGGAATTTCTACTTACGGCTACATAGCCCTGTTTTTACAATTCATCTGAGTCCAGGCATGAGCTGATGACAGGTGAGAATCTGTTGTTCTGAGCTTTTATCAATAAATTAAAACATCTGAAAGTTTATGAAAAGTTCAGGATACTTGTTATTGTTTGAAGCCTTCTTTTAAAGAATAAACAATATTATTCATCCATCTGTATCCCTGGGGAAAATTTGCTTTAGCCTCAGGATTGAGTTGAATAAACTTTAACATTTACTGCTCTTTCTTTCCAGTTTATGCTTATAAACTTGCAGCTGTTTACATTTTGTCTGCACTGAACAAGAATCGTTGATTTCTTATTAGTACACAGGCGTAATAAAGTCTAAACTTGTATTTTAAGTAATTGCTGAATTTGGGGAAAAGTAGGCAAAACCTCTTCAGCACAATACATTCTTGTTTAAAATACATGTTTAATTGAGAGGTCGGGGGAGAGTGTTCACCAAGGCCATTTATATACGAGTACAAATTGATCAATCACATCCTGTTATGTACAAAGAAATCTCCTCTCAAAGAGGAGTTAAACACGTCCTATAAAAGAAAAGCAATTGTACGAAATGTAAGCAGCCACAGTCTCTGCAATATAGAATCAATGATAAATTTGGGAACAACCTTTAATGGTTATAAGAACTGTGAAAAGGTTCTTGTGGTCTGAAAGCATCCTACGCTGACGTCAAATGCATGGGTGTGGTGCTGAAGTGACAATCAAAGCTTTATTGAATTTTCTTTTCAGGGAGCTCCTCTTTGTGGGTTTTATCACTGAGAGCCACGGGGGATGATTAATTCTAGATGTCTTAGGTTTCACATCTTTGTACATCAGACTTTGATTCTTTCTTTCCATAATGATTTTTTACCTGGACACAGGCTCGCTTGGGTTTACAGCAATAATACATTAATAGTGCATGATGCAATTATACTAGATTTTAATTGTATCGCCTGAACATGTTCTAATCATGGTTTTTTTTCTTCTATATTTCAAAAATGCAAATCTTATTAAAAGATATGCAGTAATCTGTAACGCGTCATCTCAGTGTGCTGCTTGTTTGCTAAAGAAAGACTAAAAGCTCATCTAAAAAACGTTGGACCCTTGCTTACCCCTCTCTGAGGATCTTTGCTGATTCCTGCGTAGTCTGCTGCCTCAGACACTGAAACAAGGTCTGGTGACCTCTCGGATGAAAATCTAATGAACACACATCACACGAGACAAAAACCATGCATGACAAGTGGACAGGAAGACAAATACAAGGAACCAAAAGCAAATGGCGAGGTTCTTACCTTTTCGTAAGATCAAGGGGCAAGGGGCGGGGCTTCAGTACTGGTTTTAGGACTGGGCTTTGAACTGGAGTTGCATCCTCAGTCAGCTGTTTGATGAGCTGTTTAACACCCACTGATGGTTCTGTTGGTTCAGAAACTGGCTGTACTGGGGAGTGAAGATCTTGACCTGCAGCACCCGCCCCCGGAGAGGACGACGAATCAAGGAAATGACTAATGCGCAACTTCATGCCAGCATCTTTTACAGTGGTTTCTTCTGTCTTTTTGTCATTTTGGTCTGGGAGAACTGGACTGGCTACACTTTCAGTGCTTTCAGGTGTGGAGCCGTTTGGACTTTTATCTTGTTCCTTCTTTGAAGGAGGTGCCTTCTCCATTGGAGTGTTCTCCTTTGTGTCTGCTTTGGGACTTTTACGATGCAGAGACAGACCAATTGACTCAAACCTGGATGTGAGGTCAGCTGAAAGGGGTCGTCTCCCGGCCCGGCGTGGAGCAGCATCTGGTGTTTCCATTTTAGTTGGAGTGCCAAGGAAAATGGCTGAAACAGGTCTGGGCTTAGAGCTCCTGGGCTGGGGTCGCATCATCACAGATACGTCTGGCTGAACTTTGTCATTATTTTCCTGTTCTTCCTTTTCTACCTCGAGGAGTGAACCCATGGACTTAGCCCTTGTTATGGAGGTTCCAACTGTATTCTGTCCATTCTGCTGACCCTCATGTTCCTTTGTAGTTCCAGACCATTCTGTTGGTGAAAGTGTTTTAAGACTCTTGGAATAGGACAAGCTTGACGCAGCAGATTTGTGTCTTTCAGCTGGCATAGGGCGAGTGGGTTTACTGGGTTCTGCAAGGTCAATTGGAGGAGCTGGTTTAAAGGGCTGGACTACTGGTTTGATTGTCTGCCCTGTGATCAATTTATTAGATGTTCTAAAAGAAGTAGAGGCAGGACGGTCAGGGTTAGTCAACACTGGCCTCTGTGTTGGTTTTGGCAAAATCGGCAGATCTGGCTTGCATCCTGCGAGGCGAGTTGACTCTGGTCGGGGTTTGGTTTGGGGTTTCGGAGCCAAAATGGGCTTAATCGTAGCTTTCTCCAGGGCAAAGGGTTTGGGAGTGAGTCGAGGCTTAGGGCTCGGCGCAGGTTTGTCAGCTTCTGATACAATGACATGGGATTCACTGATGGAAGGGATCTCAATGAGGCTTTTATTGCTGGAGTCAGTCAGTGGACTCAGGTGGAGTCGTCCACCTGCCACTGTTCTCCCAACCTCCCCAGTTTGAACCTCCACCTGAGCAGCCATCCTTTAAATAAAAAACAAAATTTCTCAGAACAACAATAAAACTTTGTTCCATTTGTTAACACATAAACAATATAAAACTTTATAACAAATGATTTGCTAAAACTTTGTTAACATGTTTATGAAGAATTAAATATTATATCTTTCTTACAGGGAAAAACTACTAACACTTTATAAAGTCTGTCAGGCAAAGCTTTTTATCTGTTTTTGGTGTTGAGGATGAAAAAACTAATCTAACCACAACAACTTAAAATGTGGTTAAAGATCTGTATTTTGCTTCTACATTCAAATAGGCTGGGCGATATGTACCAAAATTAATATCTAGATATTTTTAAGATAAATCGTGATATACGATATATATCTCGATATTTTTTCTTTCCATAAAGTAATAACAAAAATATATTTGAGTCAAAGCTGTGTCCCAATCGTCACACAGGCACATTTATTAAAAACAGCTGTAAATGTACAAAATAATGACTAAAAAATAAACTATATACATTTATTTACTATTAAGTAACAATTCTCTTCAGTTGCGCCGCCTTCACGACGTTCGTAAGCGTGTGTGAAGCAGCACGTGAGGGGCTGTTTGTATTCAGTGAGGGAGGGGGGGCAGCGTGGATGTGGCGGCGCAGACGCGCAGAAAACGAGATCCACACTGATTTCCTACAGTGAGAGGAGGTAGAGCAACATTAATACAGCAGTGGCTTATCATATCGCTAAGATATGGTCCTTAGCAGCTAACGAGACAGCTAACTTTAGCCGTCTTGTTCCACAGTCAAGACTGGGACCGTGTCTTTGCGATATGATAGCAGGGAAAGAGGCTGAAGTCAGCAGAGCTGCAGTTTCACACACGCTTCATACTCCACTTATAGCGCTCTTTTAAATGGTGAAAAATATTCGCAGTGCCGACCTTTTGTCGGGACTTGTTTTCGGCATAGTCTACAGAAAACATTTTTCTGCTGCTCATCTGACAATTTAAATCCAAACCATCTCTGAATAACAGCCATTGTTTTTCTTTTTGCCCAGCAGCTAAGCTGCTCTTTGCCATCTTCTCCCACGTTTACTTGTGCTAAACTTCCCGCCCACCTGGAGAAGCAGGAAGCAGGGGGAGCGCACATGGGTGAGGGGCTGAGCCTGTATTCAGTGAGGGAGGAGGCGGCGCTGCGTGAAGTTGGCAGCGCAGACGAGGAAACAAAAGAACTTCACGGATTTTCAAGTCTAATAATACTCGATGGCTGTGATAGAACCATTTTAACCATCGTAGATAGAAAAACTGCCGATACATCGAGTATATTCGACGCATCGAGTATATTCGACACATCGAGTACATTCAACGCAGAGTATATTCGACACATCGAGTATATTAGACACATCGAGTATATTCGATACAGCGAGTATATTCGATATGTCGAGTATATTCGACACATCGAGTATATTCGACACATCGAGTATATTCGATACGTCGAGTATACTCGACACGTCGAGTATACTCGACACGTCGAGTATATTCGACACATCGAGTATACTCGACACATCGCATATATTCGATACATCGCCCAGCCCTACATTCAAATGACAATTTTAGAACAAAAGAAATACCTTAAAATGTTGGATTCATTCATTAAAAGCTTCTTTTTTTTTACTGCCTACACATGTACTGTCAGTCACAAGTAATGATTTCATCTTTGTGACTCAAAGCTCTTAGTGCACAGGTGGATCTAATAACTTTGGTTCAGGTCCATTAAACACAAATATAACACAAAGCCAGCAGCTTAGAAAACTAAATACAAGGAATTAATAAATGATGTCATTATTCACACGGTTTACTTTTTTTTTTTTTTTTGCAAATGCATTTTATTAGATTTAAAAGAGAACTACTGTCCAGTCACCAGCTGTGTTGGCGATGAGCTCAAGAAACAAGTGTTCCGTTAGATATTCAAGAGTATTTTTTGTAACATTCATTTAAACACACACATTCCATTTAATATGTTTTAAAGTTGCACAGCAGTTTCTTTGAAAGATCTGTGACAATAAGTTAGCTGCACTGTGCTAGTGCGCTGCATTCTTTAGCCTCGTGTATCCTGGAGGCTTTGCTTGCCTCATCTTTATCACAATCTTCTAGGAAAAGAGATCCAAGTCTTATTTATTCAGTCAACTTGTAAATGTGCATCACTAACTAGAAATACTGGTGAAGCGGCGATCATAACTTTATATCTCTACACCTGTAACACCTGCAATAAGGAGGGGGCGGACCATTGTGCAATGTCACCCGTTTCCTTCCTTGTTATAACTCAGGCATGTTAGTTTTAGATGTCAAATGTGGAATTACACTGAAAACCTATAGACTACAAATAAAAACCCAGTTTTAAATTTAATTTAACTAAACCTTCACTGGTTAAAGGTAAATGGAAAATAAGTCACCAAGTCCTTTCGACACATAACCACTTGTGTTGTAAAAATAAAAGCAAAAATGACTCCTTTGCTGGCCCTTTAAGAGGTTTGCTCACATCTGATAATGCTTTCCACATGTTGCTGTGTTGAGTTGCTTTGTTACACAGAGCAGCCAGTTCTTTCAGGATAATGTCACGCTGCCTCAAACTGCAACAAACAATCGCGGCGTGTCCTACCTGACCAGACGTCAACCGTCTGCTGTAAAGCTTGGGCTTTTGTTGAAACCAAGCCACGATGTCATATCACACAAGGGGACCGAGTCGAAGAAGCCTGGAAGGAATATACTGCATGTCAACAAAGCGCTTTCACTCGGAGGAAAAATCACTGCAACAAATGGCAGCGTCACTGTGGTGCGCTCACACCGTCCTACAAAAGCAAACACAGATGTGTAGGGTCACGCCCATACATTTGAGTACATTTGAGTCGACCATGGCACATGTTTAAATGTGCAGTACAACCCTGCACTGCTGTGCCTTTACTGCGTTGATTGTGCATTTGCACTGTGACCTAGGTCAAAACTCATTCCCCATGATTCACTCCCTTCTTACGACAACATATCTATGCAAATTCAATCTGTGAACGTTGGAACTGTAAGTGCCATAAACACTGCTGTCTTTTTTATACATATACAAAACTAAAGAACACTGGAAGATGCTTAAAAAGCATTCATGTGGGTCACACAAGAGAAAAGATTTTTTTTAAAAAGGGGTCTTTTACATGCTGACAGGAAACGCCTCTGCCAAGAAGGAATGCTAAACATTCACTGGGATGGTGGGTCCAGAAGCACAGCAGGGATTAGGAAAGTGTCTGCCTTATATAGGCTCATATGGGAGGAAGTACCCCACAATAGTCATTACTAAAACCATCAACAACAATTAAAGATGATAGAGACTCTGCTTGGTTTTCTCCTCACACCAGTATGAAAGTTAAGCTTGCAAACGATGTGCTTTTTGCTCATGCTTCTTTGATTTAAACCATTTGAGTGGATCACAAAGTAAACCTGCACACAAGCCTGTTGTGTTTTGACAGTAAAATATACCAAAAGTCAGAAACCTGGCTCAGCCGGTTATACAAAGGCTGAGCAAAGGAATTTCCCTTACAACTTCATGTCACGTTAATCTATTACCATTCATCTCAAGATACTTGACATTAGTGTGACACAGACCTGCCACCATGCACATCGAACTGGGATTAGAAACTAAAGTTGGCTGCTGTCATCCCAAAGGACATGCCAGTGATGTTCGTCACTACTAAATACTGCTGTCAATGTGAAAATTAACTTATAGCTGCTTATACTTACAGCCACGTTAAAATAACAACTAATTACAGCCAGTTTGACTCATTGTGAGATGCCCAAACAAACAAACAAGTGTTCTAATCGAATAAACAACTATAAACCAGTGTCTCGCTCTTATAATTTCAATAATAAGCCGCATCTAGCAGCTGTTCTACACGAGACGTTTCAACAAGTGTGACCTCTTCCTGCTCATTTCATCCACCTGGTAGTGGACGGGATTCGGTCCAGTTTGGGAAACCTGAAGATGGCCTGCCCAGAACCGAACCGAACCGCATCTTGGCGAGAAAACCGTGAACCTATGCTCGGATACATTCGGAGAAAACCTCCACCTCGGGCTGTTTTGATAACTTCGCTGACTTCGTGCAGGAGGAAACAAACGCATTACTCGGGCGCTAGCAACCGTGAGCTAACAAGTCAAGAAGTAGCAAAATGGAAACAGTGACTGAACCTGTCTTTTCTGCTGGCCGTTTGATCCACGGATAACTCACCGAAACGGCCAGGTCCGCGGGGTTTCCTCGTCGAAACAACTTCAAACTCGGTATTTCCAGCAAACTCTGCACGACAATGAGTCGTGACAGTTGGTGAACACAGTGGCTAGCAGAGTGGCTAAGTTAGCAGGTTTACTTAGCTAGCCAAATGACTGTCTATCCCGTCTCAGGTTGCAATGTTGTTGACAGGATAGACTAGACAGCGCTGAGCAGCGAGGAAGCAGTCTGACTGGTTAGGGACCACTGGACAGTCCAGTGCACGAGCGGAACATTCAACTTCCGGAAACTACTTTCAAAATAAAATTTATTACGAGTTAATTTAAGGTCTATACTTAAGATATTGTCGTTATTTAGTGCAAACAAAAATATAGAGCGAAAAATTCATTTTTATTTTGTAAAATATTACAATGATAGGTAATGTTAACCACAAGTCACGTCAAGCGAATAGTATTATGACAATGCGTACGTAACTTCCGGTTTTGATTGCGCAGAGTATAAACAGCTTCACGGACATTAGCAATAGAAAAGTGTTACTTTCCAGACGTTAACTCATTACTGATTAACTTAAATGACCAATTTGTCTATATAAATGTACTTTAGTGTAATATGCATGAGGAAATTTTGATTTATGTGCCAACTAAACGTTTACAATTACTAGTGAATGTACTTTTCACTAATTTTCTCAGGCAACTTGAGTAAAACCTTTCAATTTAATGTTTTATCAAGACTGCCCTCATGTGGAGCAGAGATAATACTGCATCAATAAGCTGTCGAATTGATGAGACTGCTGGCGTTTCATAATCAATTGCAAATCAGTCATTTTATTGTGCATAAATCTTTATTCATAACATACTAATGTATGTTTTTAGCCCATAAACCTGCTCAAAAATACAGGAAATTAAAGAACCCTCAAACAAATATATCTAATTTACTTTCTTTTCTTTTTTTTACGTTTCAGGAACATTTCTTAAATCCTAAGCAATCGTCCTTCGGCTTCACACATTTTCAAAAATGAAATAAAAAGGGATAAAATTAATTAAACATTCCAAGTCAAACAACTTAAACTGGACAAACTGACTGAGGAGAAGGTGCGTGTTTCATATTTGACCGAGCAGAATATGTATGTTCTGTTGAGCCTACAGAATTAATCTTTTCATACAATACTGTTTTTTACTTGCTTGTATTTATTCATGTTGATCTAAAAAAAAGATACAACTACATTCTGCAATTTCCAAAATGTAGGATCCTGAAGGGCTAACGGATTTAAGTAGTTACTGTGATGAACACTGAAAAAATGGATGAGGTGAGACCGATTCAGTGTGAATGCTGAGCGTTTGGAAAGATTCAAAGGTGCAACACACTACAGCTGGCTGACTGCTTCTCTAGCCTGAAGCGCCCTGAAAACATTTTCCTCAACACGAATGGTTCCTAGATGCAATGCTCTGGGTGACATTATGGAAACTGACAGCCAAGCTCAAAGCATGTCAAATATTAGTCAGCAAGTTATAACTTTTTACCTAGCATCTGAACTACAAGGTACCCATAAGGCTTTCAGTGACACGAGGATGAAGCACATCTCTGTCCGAGCAGAACATGAAATGAATGTTAATGAAACTGAGGGGAAGATGGCAAAACAGAAGATCAACCAGTGAAGCAATGGCTAAAGCAGCTTAAACTTTGGCCACACACTCAAACCTAATTCCACATTTCCAAGAAAATCGACAGAAAGGAAAAAACAAAGCAGTTGGAAGATTATGATCCAATGAACTTTAGCTCCGTCTACTTTGTGTGAACCATGGATGTGCTGAACAGAAGCTTCTGTTTTTTCTTCTTCTTCTTGCCTCCCTTTTCCTCTGAAAGAGAGCAAGCACAGATGAGTGCAGGTGGAAACACTTAATCACTTAAACATACAAGTGAATTATAAAGTCACAGACCTGGTTCAACCACATGTTGTGGAGAGGAAGCTGGACCAGTGTCCAGCTGTAGAAGTGCCTTCTCAAAAGCCTGACTGAAAGAATTTTGAAAGCTGGGCACAGGGACACGGTCCGACCCGTCACTCTCACCATCACTGTCTGCTGCTGGGGGGGCTAGCAGCTGATCTGAAAGGGAATCCAGAAAAAAACTTTGAGCATGTTTAAAAAAAAATGAAATGCACAATGACAAAGTTTTAGGGATGTCACCATCGCACCGTCTAATGATGACTTCCATCAACTGATACAAATGAACTGCTTGGTAATAATTTAAAAACAACATATAGATTTCAAGTCTAGATATTAAAGATCTAAAGGAAAATCAAATAATCTTTGATTAACTTGGTAAGCTTATTTGTTTCAGTCGACATTAAGGTGGACTGAGACTTTAGACAGAGAGCTAAACTCTATCTCTAGACGTCAGACAATTGACACGACATCTGTCAATCAATCCAGTAGGCTCGTCAGCAACTCACCAATCGGCGATTGCAATTTGTCCCAAAGTGAAACGCCCCCTACCTGCAGGAGCTGTGGCCCCTTCTCCTCCAACAACATTGTCGAGGTTTTGCGTTACAAATGATTTGTGGTCAGAGGGATTTTGTGAAAAATGGTTGAACGTCAGTGGGAAACATGCAATTCAGACACGTGTTCCCCTGAGTGTTCAGAGGGTGGGATAGTTTCTTACATTTACAAAACCTAAACTGAGTCTGGAAAAATGTAAAAGATGATAAAAGCCGGTGACAGACCTCATGAGCAGCTCAACAGTGATAAACATGAAGTACATGTTTGGCTGTACAAAGGTAACTGCAGGTAAATCCTCCATTTTCTGTCATAATTACATTGTATGCTTAATGATTAAATTAAAAGGTTAACACTTAAAGATAGTTGTACTTTGTTTTGTAAATAGATATGTTGCATAAGTTCAGTCTTTGTTTGCTAAGATCAGTTAACACTAAACCAATTTTGCACAAAGCGTTTATTAAATAGTGTAATGTAAAGTTTACACTCTTAGTACATACTGCATTTCACTGTGTTGAATCCATCTACTGCAGGAACTATTTGAAGTTATTAGTGTCTTAGAAATTTTATTTTTGCCCGTCTGCCTTAATGTTGACTGATAAGACAGAAATGCCTCAGCAAATGCTTCAGGTAACACTGTGAGCTTCACCATCTCCACCATCGCAGCTGTACTTTTTATTTATTAGTCGGAGGTTAGCTCACCCTGGGTTACATTTCCACATGGGTGGAGCGATCTTACTGTTGGTGTCATGTCAGTAGGATTTGACCTGGAGGCAAAGCTGAACTTTTAACTTGTGGCGCTGTATACATCTGTCCCAAAATCTTTATATTTGTGCATCACATCAAGTTATTCAAGATAAAAATTACTTCTTTTTTTTAAAATTCACTTGTATATACATTCCTCAAGAACCCCTGCACCCTAAACCTCTAAAACAACAATTAACCTACATGCTGAGGAGAATCAGTATCATATCATCACAGTTCCTGTGACCCACATCTTCAATCTCTCCATAAGCCAAAACTCCATCCCAGACACTTGGAAAACAGCCTTTATTCTTCCTCTGATGAAGGGAGGTGACCCCACCTCACTGAACAACTATCATCCAATCTCTAAACTCTGTATTTTAGCCAAGGTTCTAGAAAAACTGATAAACTCTCAAATCAAGTAGTATTTGGACTCATTTAACATCTTACCTCTCCATCAATCTGGTTTCAGGAAACAACACAGCACAACCACTGCTCCACTGAAGGTTCTTAATGACGTTGTTGAAGCACTGGATGCTAAGGATTATTGTGCTGAACTTTTCTTAGACCTGTCTAAAGCTTTTGACACTGTGGATCATAACATCTTGTGTCATAAGCTCTCAGAAATTCATTGGTTGGTTCTCTAATTGTTTCTCGGATGTGAGGCAATGTGTCAACCTTCACATCAATGTGAAGAAGACAAAGGAGATGATTGTGGACTTCAGAAGGAACAAAAACACCTACACCCCCCTGAACATAAGAGGATCTGCGGTGGAAGTGGTCTCCAGCTACAAGTACTTGGGTGTACACATGAATGACAACCTCAGCTGGAGCAACAACACCACCAGCCTGATCAAGAAAGCTCATCAGAGACTCTACTTCCTCAGACGGCTGAGGCGAGCTGGTCTGGGAAGCTCAGTCCTCACCTCCTTCTACAGGTGTGCAGTGGAGAGCATCCTGTGCTCGAGCATCAATGTGTGGCATGGAGGCTGCACAGCTGCAGAAAGAAAAGCTTTGCAGAGAGTGGTGAAGGCTGCACAGAAATCTGTTGGAATCAGTCTCCCCACCATCACAGACATCTACACCTCCAGATGCAGGAAGAGGGCCACCTGCATCATAAAGGACCCCACCCACCCAGCACACTCACTTTTTGCCCCACTCCCCTCAGGAAGGAGGTTAAGGAGCATTAAGTGTAGAACCACTAGACTGAGGAACAGCTTCTACCCTGAGGCTGTTAGACTCATGAATCTCTAACCAGAATAATCACTGTGAAAAACCATATCATGTTGCTGCTGATCTGTTTCATGTTGCTGCTGATCTGTTTCAATGTTGGTGTGTTCATGCGTGTACATTTGCTCACAGACTCATGTTCATGTTTGTGCTGATGTTCAATGTTTTATGTTATGAGTGCTTAGTGTATATTTAGTTGGTTTTTCTTAGTTCATATCTTAGATCTTATTACTGTTTTTCTTATACATTTTATTGTTGGATGTAACTGGGACCCTGCGTACATAATTTCGCTCCACCACATGTACCACATGAGGTGCGAATGACAATAAAGAAACTCTGACTCTCTGACTGACTCTGATAATTGGTATTTCTTCCAGTTATTTAAGGGTTAACAATGGTGTACCACAAGGCTCAGTCTTAGGACAAACACTCTTTACAATCTACATAGGTAATGTAGGTCAGAGCATCCCTGATGCATCCATACTTTTCTATGCTAATGACACAGTTGTTTATTGTCAAGTTAAAACAGTTGATAAGGCTTTCCAGCTTTTGCAATCTGCTTTTGACATCATCCAGTCAGACTTGCTCCGTCTCAAACTTGTCCTAAATGACGACAAAACCAAAGGGGTGTCATTTTCAAACAGGAAGTCAGTCCCAGCAGTTTTTCCTTCGATTTTATCCTGGAGTGGTGTTCCTATAGTGTTTGTCAATTCCTACAAATATTTGTCTATCTTGATCAATTCACATCTCTCTTTAAAGCTTCACGTGGAAAACCTAGTAAGGAAACTGAAAGTTTAACTGTTTTTTTTTTTCTTCTTCCAGAAATAGATCTTGTTTAACTCTGAATGCTAGAAAACACCTTTCATATTAAATTACTCAGATTCGTAACTGGCTGTGATTATCGTACCCACCACTGCACCCTGTATTCACTGGTTAACTGGACATCATTAACTTCACGCAGACTCTCTCACTGGTACATTTTCATCTTTAAATCACTTCTTGGTCTGTTGTCTTCATACATCTCCTCTTACATGTCTCTGCGTGAGTGCAGCTACAGCGTGCGCTCTCAGGACATTATTACCTGCAGTGTTCCCTCAGTGAGGACTGAACTAAGTAAAAGGGCCTTCTCCTACTCCGCTCCTGTTTCCTGGAATATCTTACAAAAACAACTGAAGCTCTCGACCTTGACCTCTCTAAGTGGCTTTAAACATCTGTTAAGCAAAAACCACTGCAGACATGTTGTTGTTTAAAGTATTTTACATTGCCTTACAATCTTAGCTGTTTTTGCAACACAATTTGCTTTCATTTGTTCTTCTCAATTTATGCTTTCTTTTATGATTGTCCACTGTTGTCATCACTCTTTGTTAAAACCAGGTCTCTTGTAAACGAGTCCCTGAGGCTCAATGGGACTAACCTGTATAATTAAAAGTTGAATGAATAAATCAAGTACTACTTTTTTGTCGCAACAATTTTTTTCCTATAAGAGCTCGCATCAAACTATTTGCTTTGTCCATGAAGTCATTTTTGAACTCCAAATTAGTGATAAATGTAACCCATTTAAAACCATCCTCATCATCAAATCTTTGTGTCCAGTCAGAAAGACAGACACTTTATTAATCCCTGAGGGGAAATTTGAGGCATCCAGTCTAATGACTGGGCGAGATAATAAAAAATATATATACTGTTAGTTTATTTTCCTTTTATTTGCAATAGGATGATTCGGTTTAACGTAAAATATGTAAATTGCATTATTTGAAAGTGACCACACAAATGACAACTAATGAAGCTGCTTTTGACCCCCCCCCCCCTTTGTTTTTTTTGGATAAGTTTTAAAAGTTTAAAATACAAAGCAACATGAAAAAGAAGTTGACAAAGAGCATAGAGAACAACTTGCATAGTGTAGCAAGCATATTTTTCTATTAATGTTTCAGGAGGTAATGAACGACTAGAATTTCCCGTTTCTAAATGTTTCTTCAGACTTGAGATCTGGTGTTATTTAGAAAAGTTTCAGGGCTGCAGCTCAGGATTCTTGGGCCATTTAACGGGTTCAACATATAACGCAGCATGTTGCGCTAATTACTGAGATGATTCTATAATGTGACCAAACCACAACCTCTCTGTGTAAAATTCAAACCACATTTTTAATAGTGTTGAGCTAAACCAATCGCCGTGAATAATTCCTACAAGCATGTTAGCTCAACACAACATTTCCAGTCTTGTACTACCTTTCTTTGGAGCGATCCTGGACCCAGCATCAACTCTGGCTTTCCCATCTCTCAGCATCTATAATGGAGACACAGTCAGGGTGGCAGCACCATGTCAACACATCCATTATTCCCCTCGCGTAAGAAATCTAAATATTTTAACCACACTCACTCACCTGTGCAAAGGACATGCAGTGTGAATCATCCTCCACACTACCCACAGTGGGTGTGGACACACTCAGACTTGGGAATCTCATTTCATCTAAAACAAAAAGGGAAGAAAATCAGAAGAAACTATCAGTTAAATAAATACATCTCTGAACTAAAGTCAAATGGAAGGGCTGATCTTACCAGAAGGACTGCTGCTGAGGGGTGATGGAGGGGCTAAAGTGAAATCAGGTTGGACAGGGGGACTGCTGTTGTAAGGCGGAGAGCCAAATGCTGGAAAATGATGAAGATTCTCCAGACCAATATGCACCTCAGGATCTGAGGACGTGAGATCAAATAAAATGCGTACCGGTAAATCCTGAACTAAAAAGGAGAATGAATTAAATCTTGAGTCATATCCTGTACTTACATTTACCCTGTTTCTTGTTCTCTTCAATCTCAATGCGCTTTTCTCTGCGTTTCTCGTCTCGCGCTTTCTTCTGCCTCAGGCGCTTTCTTTTCTCCAAGTCATCTGAAAGATTTAGACAATTTAAACACAACTAAACATAAAATGTTTTTTTTTTTTTTTTATTCCACATGGAAAACTGAGATTTAAACTGTTCATACCTGCAAATGTGTCCAGAGTTTCTTTGGACAGGATTGGCGGCTGCAGAGCCAACTCACAGATGCTGAATTCACATGTGAGCGGCAGATGAGCCAGGTAGCGGTTACGGCGACGAACCTCCTGAGATGAAAAAAGCAAAAAGTCAAAATAATTATTTTCTAAAAGCAGAAGCCTAAAGTAAACCAGCAGAGTAAAACATAAAACTTGACTGAACCATTTTTAAAGTGCCACCTTAAGCAAAAGATACTAAACGTGACTGAACGCCTGACGTCTGCCTCTTTGTTTCCTTGGTTGCTGACCTCGGTGACTGTGTGTCCGACGATCTCCACCACTCTGGCAGTGATTGTGTCAGGACAGGCCTCCAAAGTGCCGTATTCACGCAACAGACAGCGCACATTCACAGGGTGCAGGAACATTTGCTGGCAATCTTCAGCTGGAAAAATAAATGTACAAAAAGGATCCAAAAATGAACATACAACCTAAAGGATTATAATGTCAAGTAGGTCTAATAATGGCTACTTGTGTTTGGTTTTCATGATTGTGCAACATTTTTCTTAAAAAGCTAATTACTTTATCTAAACAGACTTGGTCAAAAAAAGCAGGTAGGGGAATTACAAACCTTGGTAGAAATAATAATAAGGTCCGTGCACCACATTGGTTGAAGGGTGTGCAGACTCAGCCTGGTTGGCTGGGCTCTGCTCATCAAGCTGAGGCTCTGGGACAACGTCCAACACAGCCTCAGAGAACTCCTCCTCCGGGACGCTCTCCAGGGCGGCTCCAGAAACATCCTGCAACTCTGCAGGCATGTCCTCTGTAAGCTCCATCACCTCATCATCAAACGCAGAGGAGTACTGCAGGACAGGCTGGGAGGGAAACAAGATACAACCTCACAGATGAGTGAAGACGATATAACTATAGAGAGAAAACAGTCGTCCAAAGGTTCATCTGAAGATTCACCTTGACATCGCTGATAGTAGTCACCAGTTCCTCGACAGGTGAAGAAGGTTCCTTCAGAGTCAGTGAGGTCAAATCAAGCTCCTGTGCATCGGTTTTCTGTTGCAACATTTCCTCTCGCTCCTGTAACATTGACAGATAAAGACATATTTTATAGTTTTATTCTTAAACAAAATTTCTAAAAGTTAAAAGTAGAACTGCCAAGTCCTGAATTACTGAGAATGTATGTACACCAGCATATCTTGCGTCCGTTTCACACAGTCTTTTACTGTAGATTAATGGAGACACAGGTGAATGGTCTGCATTGACTCTAGATGTTTTTCGCCACAGATGAACAGTTTTACCTGCAAAAGACAAAGGGCGCTCTGGATGAAGCAGCCCTGGGCATCCTCTTCCTGACTCAGTTGAACCTGCAGGACTGCCTTCTCCTCTGTGACTAGGTTTAGGACCTGAGCAGGGGAGGTGAGCAGCAGCTTGGAGTATGGGCTAAAAGAAGTATCTGCAAAACAAATATTACCATCAGTCTCCGCTGAACACGCAAACAGCCTTTCTAAACAGCCATGTCATCTCATTAAAATGAAGCATATCCAGTCTGTCTCTTCTTCCACAATAAGATTTAGAAAACACAAAATCATATTGCACTATAAAACCAAATTACTGAATATCATCATCGTATCTATCTATCTATCTATCTATCTATCTATCTATCTATCTATCTATCTATCTATCTATCTATCTATCTATCTATCTATCTATATATATATATATATATCCATCTATCTATATCTATCCATCTATCTATATCCATCTATCTACATCTATATCCATCTATCTATATCTATCCATCTATATCTATCTATATCCATCTATATCTATCCATCTATATCTATCTATATCCATCTATATCTATCCATCTATATCTATCTACATCCATCTATCTCTATCCATCTATCCATCCATCTATCCATCTATCCATCTATCCATATCTATCCATCTATCTATCCATCTATCTATCCATATCTATCCATCTATCTATCCATATATCTATCCATATCTATCCATATCTATCCATCTATCTATCCATATCTATCCATATCTATCCATCTATCCATCTATCTATCTAAAAAACGCCGTTTCTTACCTCCAAGGCGAACAGGCTCCTCCACCTTCACCCACTGAGAGCTTGGCAGGGCCACCAGAGCCCCCTTTTCCCTCCGCATCAGGCGCATGGTCATTACATCACCAACCACATATTGCTTTATCTCCATAGCAACCACACTGCAAAAACAGCAGTTATCAGAAAACACCCAGAAACCACACAAACTCACAACATTAAGTGTTGAAGCTTTATGAAGATTTTTCCCCCCCTTTGAAGCTCCTCCTTTACCTCTTCAGGTCAGCTGTTTGCACAGCCTCGTAGCAGATGGGACACTTGGACCAGCTCTTGTCACTAAGAGACAGGTAGTGCAGCATGCACGGCCAGCAGAAGATGTGTCCGCACCGAGTGATGCGAGCTGCCACAGGTGGATAGAGGCAGATCGGGCAAGACGGCACCTCATGGCTATAGATACGCTGTGGATACACAGAAACCATTTGTCATTAATAGTCCTTACTTTAAAAGAACAATAAATGGGTGGGGGGGAGGGGGGGACATTTTTAGTGGCAGTAATGTGTTTGTATAAACAAAAGGTCGTTAGACGTTGAGAATGATTTGATACTCACCACTTGCTGCACACAGTCCCAGTTGACCAACGTGTCTGGATCAGTGAAGTGAGCCTTGTAGTCCTGGTCATCAATCACCACAAACTGGCAGCTGAAACACAAAGGTATCACCATTTTCAAACGTTCGGCCTTTCTAACATAAACCTGACTGCCTCGGAGCCTGCTTACTTGGCCTGCAGATAAAGCTCCTTGTTGAAAGGCTTACTCTTGTGGCCCCACTTGTTTCGGCGCCCCCAGTACGAGTGGCCACCGTCTCCGACGCCATCATTACCTCCACGGGGTTCAAAAGTGAAGTTCAGCAGATGGTTCAAGCTTATTTTCTTGGGTCCAGCAAATTGAGCCGGGCTAAACTCGGCCCGGCGTGTCTCTGCTACCTGGAAGGCGGAGAGCGACCACAACTCATCATTATTTTAACGAGAATCTGTTAATGGATCACAACTGAAGACAGCATTTCTTTTGTAACAAAAATATTAACAATAGTTTTGAAATTGGCAAAATCATGTCATCATTTAGAATACCAACCTCCTCACGTCGTCCTCCACCTGTAACTCCATACTGTCGCCCTCCACCTCTCTGAGGGGGTCTCTTGTCAAAATTCTTGCTTTTCTGTGAATTGGTGCGGCGAGGACCAGGGACACTTTCAGCTTTGGGGAAGGAGGGCTCACGCTTGCGACTGTATCGCTTAGAGCCCCCATTATTTTTACCTTCTGACATAGAAATGAGAAAATAATTTAGGTGTATATAAAGTTCAAAACACAGAATGACTTGTGCAAGTCATGCTTTTTATGTACACTACCTGGTCAAAAACAGCAGTGCACACTCAGCTACATTCAAAGAAGTAATTGCATAAATATCCACCCAATTTGAAGTGACTATCCTAATCACCTTAGAGAAATGAAAAGTGCAAGTCAGGGTATGGATACAAAAGGTAAGGCACAAAGGCCCCAACACTCCCAGGAGTTCTCGAGAAATGGGAGGACTATAGGAAATGTGTACTGTAGCAGGCCGTCCTCACAAATGGAGTGACCGTGCAAAAAGGAGATTAGTAAGAGAGAGCGCTAAGACGCTTGAGACCACTCTAAAGGAATTACAAGCTTCAGCAGCTCAGATGGAAGAAACTGTGCAAAGTACATCCATCTGTCCATCTGTCATACTTTTTTGGACTCTATAGAAACCTTGTCTTTGGTTGTTTGACAGATGCTGACAATACAACTTGTTTTAAAAAACCAACACCTCTTCAAAGGCCAAAACATGTCCCTACTGACATGAAGAAGAGATGCTGCATCAGACAGGGAATTATCATTTTGTTGTGTGTGTGTCAGCCATCGTTTTTTACAAGTTAAATATTAAATAATAAGTTTATGGAGACAGGATCCATTTCCACATGCTACAGTAAAACATTTAAAAACTGCAACAAAACATGAGTTTTTATAAGGATGGAAATCACTTGTATGAAATCACTTGTACTTTTTCCTGCTTGCCCTTGGTGAAGACGGACGCTTCTCCCTCCTGCTCCGTCCCTGCTCTGCTCTTTGTCCTGTGAACCTTTTTCAGAGCCTATTTTTGCATATCTTACGAATTGTAAACTATGGATCTGGTCAGCTGGTCTCTCAACGCAACTGATCAAATTTTTTTCCCAACAAGACAGGGTGAAGGAGAGCCCTCCTGCACATACTTGTATTTACGATAACAGAATTCTGTTTTTTTGGGATTGGTGGTTACCTGGCTTATCGACAAATCTGGCGAACATCAGCAGCTGTTCTGGCCCTCGTTAGGCTGCCTGACATGTGTGAAGGAATGTGCCGTGCTTGGCAACACTCAGACTCAAATGCTGTGCGAGCCGAGCGGTAAGCTGGACGCGACTCTTGCAGAGAATCACAGGCTACTTGCGGCTCCTGAATCTCACTGGTGGGAAGGAATAGATCTTGGAGAAGTTGGAAGCTCGACTCGGCGAACGTAATCACAGTTTGGTTGTTTGGAGTTGCCATGAGTTGTACTAGCAAGACTGTAAAGGTAGATGTAAATTAACAGAGCTCGGCATGACTTAAAACAAATGTTTAGATCTGAATCTGGTTCCCCCCGCTTTGGCCTTGGAAATTTGAGTATGTGGTGCAGAAAAAAATATCAATTTTTTAAAGAATCTAGATTCTCAGTCCTGGCGATTCTGAATAGTTTCTAAAGGCCCATAAAATCTATTTTAAAATGCGTTTTAAATTCTTACTCCCCGCTCGGCCGCCGTAGAATTGAGCCGTGTAGGCCACCGTACAGCAAGCTAGTTAGCCAGCTCCCTTTATCTGAATGGAGCATGCTAGCATGGAGGACAGCGTGATTCAACCCGCTTCTTCGTCTTTAAAAATCATTTCAGATCCAAGAATGTTCTGGGGGAAGACAGAGCTTAACAAGAGCGCAGTTGTTTACAAGAAGTGTCAAATAAAATTGCGGGACAGGAATTTGAAAATACGACAACATGCATGAAAGATGAAAGCGAAGCAGCGGACCAGCGAACTCTGCAACAAACTTCCAGCTGATTCACCAAAGGCTGCGAAGGTTTCCCTCTCCATCTCCTGCTGTATCACAAAGGATTTACGAGCAGACAGCTCAGTGGAAGGTGAGGGGTTCAGGTTTATTTTTAAAACTATGGATCCAATGTATGTTATTCCTTCACAAAACTTTTTTTTTTTTTTTGATAAAGCAGCACCACAACTTCACCATTAAACAACGGATGGGAAAAGCTCTGATGCAGCTGCAGCTCAAAGGTAACTGTTTTTCTCAAATTATATTAAAATTTATAGACAAGTTGTACAACAAACTTAATGTAATTTGTCTTTTAACAGGTTGAGGAAGACAGATGAGACACATCACCTGGTGCCAGTTCTAAATGATACAGTTTATGGTTTATAAATTATAGTTCAGAAGTTTTTGTGCAGGTTTGCACATGTTTTGAAATTTTGTTAAATATTTACTAAATATGAATCAATATGGTTAAGAAGTCTGTATATTTCATATTAGGTTAAGTTTTGCAAATATAAGAAATGTTAGAGCAATATGGTTAAAAAAAACTGTGAAGTCTGTATTTTATTTTGAGTTAAAAGTTAATGTACTATGTATGGTAGGCTGAAGTCTGTTTAATTTTGCATATTTTGGATTATTTGTCTGTGATGGACTTGAGACCTGTCCAGGTGTCCCCACCTCTCACACAGTGATGGCTGGATGTGGGCACCAGTGACCCGTAAAGGAAGAAGTGGGTAAAGATGATGGATGAATTATTTGTTCCCAGATTTTTTTTTTTTTAAAGAAAAATTCAGGCAGCTAAGTTAACCTAATACTGGTAATTTAAGTTACATAATTTTATGTACTCCTACAGTTTGTCCTATTTTTGGTATAAACATTGTTGTTTATTCTTTTCAGCGTGTCAGTTACATAATCGAAACAAAATTTATGACCATCTCAATAGAAAAAATCATTTGTGAATAAAAAAATCGTTCCTGAATCGAAAAATTGAATTTGAATCACATCGTGACACCAAAAATCAGAATAGAATCGCCAGACACTGAGAGATTCACACCCCTAGTAGAGTATCTCAAATTCTTCTGGATGTTCTGGAAACAAGACGCTTTGCTTCACCCCCACCTGCTCCACTCCCCAGGGACATGGACCTGTGTCAGAGCTCAACCAAGTCAGATGATAAACACTACACCACCTCTTATCAGGACTATGGCTGGGGCAGGGGGCTCTGGACAGTGCTCAGACTACTTCCCTTCAAATTCACACCTTCGCTGGCCTCATTCCCCTGGTGCAGCAACCTAGGAGATGAAACAGCACCAATAGCTGTATTGGGCATCCTGTGCTGGGACCCCCACCCTCCCATGCATAAATGTATTACGATGTCATCAGTATGTTGCCGTTTCTGTGCTGAGGTCTTTTTTTTTTTGCAACTCTCACAATGTGTCCCATCTAGGACACAGTGTCAGATATGATTTTTTTTTACCACCTCCCCTCTCTTCCTGTTTTTCTTATCTAAAGGAAAAGGGCAGCGCCTCCCGAAGGCCGCGGCCTCAGACACCTCCGTCTCCCCATGTCTGTTTGGGCTGTACTGAAACATCTAGTTTCGTTCTGCTTCGGAGCAATGACAATAAAGCTGATTCTGATCATGTCCGATTTGTCCTGACGTGATGGAAGCTGATTAGTTGTCCACCATGGGACAGGTGTGGTGCGTTAATTACGGTGTAATAAAATGTTCTGCATCAGCTGCTGTAGGTGGGTCAGATGTTTTGACAGCTACGTCACTTTGTGCTGATAAACAGCCGGAGCAGAACTCCGAGGCCCGAACAGGCCACAGGGCGCTTAGCCGCATCAACACACCATATGACGGCCATAAATAAACACACTGTCGTTAGCGAGGCGTTCTCACCTGCTTTGGGTTTAGATTCTCCCGGCGGTGGGCCTGTAGAGCTCGAACGGGGCGGAGCCTTGGTGCTGCTGCTGGGGCCGGGGTTTTTCTCCATGTTCGTCTCCGAGCGGTGAGCGGTGCTGTTGGGGCCGAGCTGAGGGCAGAGAGCCGCCGAGCTCTCTAGCATCAAAAACAGAAACCGGGGAAGAAAACGGGCTGCAGTGAGTGCGGGTCAGGCGACGAAGGCCCCGATTCATTGCTGTCAAACACGGAGACTCCATCACGGCGACATCTTGACCATAATCAAACTCGAGAAGAAAAATACGAGACACGATTTTAGCGTCTCAAGTTATGAAGCCCGTGCACGGAGAGGACAAAAACTCGCCACGCGGGGCCAAACCCCCTCTAAATTTTAGAGTTTTACTCGTTAAGGGAAACAACGAGCCCTTAACAAGGCGTTAAATGTTTTCCAAAGTTTGGAAAACAAGCCAATTTAACAGTTTTGTCGAATAAAAATATGTCCGAAAAAAAAACAACATGCACTAATGGCGACGGGTCGCCAGACAAGAAGCTGGGAGCCCCGGATGTTATTTGTAGAGCCAGCGAGAAAGCCAGGCAAATGGGTCCGCCTCATTTAAACACCGGTACATCGAGTAGGCGGGGTGCGTGCAATAACAAAAAAATCCAGTTACAGTACAGTATCTGGAAAATACCGAATATTAACTGCTAAATCTGTTATACGCTTATGTTGTCAACTGTTATTGGTGCAATAGTTCTTGATTACTCTACGGGTTTGCTCAGGTCTCAAGAGTTGTCCCTTCCTCCCTTGCTGTCACACATTAACCCAGTCATGCTCCGGCTATTGACAGAAGAAGCAGAGCCGCTATAAAGGTCAGATGAGACGTTCTGGGAAATGTAGTACAGTAATATTTTATTCATTTAGTGAAAAGTCACAAAAATAATTTTGAGAAACAAATATTACTGCTTACTTTTGTTTTTTATGGTCCAACGCTGTACTGCAATATGTTTATTTCCCCAGTGTGTGATAAAGTTATCTTATTCATTCAACCTTTATTTATACAGGTTAGTCCCATTGAGTCACGAGGACTCATTCTCCAGAGAGACCTGTTTTAGACAAAAAAAAACAACAAAAAAAACAGATGAGGTACACACAATAAACAGTCATAAAAGGCATACACAATGAAAAGTAAATAAAAGTAGAGGTATAAAACAAAATTTAAACAAGCTACATTATGAAACAGGGTAAAACACTAAAAACAGGCACATTCATATTTTCAATGCAAAATGCACCTTATAACAGCATAATATTAATGCACAATAATCCAAAATAAGTGTTAAATTCGAAACTAAAGTTGTATTCTGCACTAGAAACATTAAAGCAGCTCCATTTTTGATTATCAACAATTGCTTTTTTAAAGAACATTGAGCTCCATTTTTAAGAACTGTCTCAACTCCAGTCTGCTCTACTTTATTCGAGACCACGTGACAACCATCATGTTGAAATTTGATTCATTTATAGACTAATTTTAAGACGATAAGTGTCTGAAACTTTATTACCAACTACTTTCCATGCCCACAACATACTTAAATGTGCGACAAGAACGTTCATACCATCCAAGATGACAACTATCTGAATTTGGAAAGCAGGAGTGAACAGCCCAAGTACGATTATACTGCTGCTTCCTCCATCTTTGGCTCAGTGGTTAGCACTGTTGCGTCACAGCAAGAAGGTCCTGGGTTCAATCCCCGGTTGGACCTGGGGTCTTTGTGTGTGGAGTTTGCATGTTCTTCTCGTGCTTGCATGGGTTTACTCCGGGATCTCCGGTTTCCTCCCACAGACCAAAAACCTGCATGTTAGTCTGCCTTCAGGTCCAGACCTCCCTTACAAAAGAGATCTGTGATCTTAATGGGATTTGCCTGGTTAAATAAAAATTAATAAATAAATGAATAGATCTTCCATAAACATCCAGCACTTTGTTTCAGACACTCTCACAGCTTTTAGAAAGAAAATGTACCAACCCATAAAACTTAACAGCAAAATGCTTTATTTAGTTGGGGGCAGGGGGTTCAGTCTTGTAACAAAAACAACATCATTCAGGCATTCGAACAACAACAAAAAAAAAACAGCATTGTGAAGTCACTGTTCCTCATCTTCCTCACTCTCCACATCCTCTTCAAATTCCTCCTTATTTCCACCTGGTAAACAGCAGCTCAGGATTGCTTGACGGACTTGCTGCTTTTCTTCTGTGAACAAAAACAGTACCTTCTTATTTTTACACAGAAAGTTTACGTTGTAGTCTTTAGATTTCAAAAAGAGCATTTAGTGAAACTGTTCAAAACATTCTGCCCCATTCAGCTGTAAAAGTGTCAAAGTATTACAGAGAAGTGTTCAACTCTGAGGGTTTAGTATGAATCCATCGCAGTTTTTATCCCTCACCTTCATTTTTACATTTAGGGAGCATTCGACGAAGCTGTTGGGTGTTGTATCGAACCAAAAACTTCTGACAGGTTCTAATAGTCCCTGCAAACAAAATAAAGCCAATTAGATGAGAATGACAAGTAGCATTCAATACTGCTACAAACGTGTGTTTGATTTATGAACTGGTTTTATGCTTCCCTTACCTCCCACGTGCAAACAGTTTAGAAAACATGGAATTGTTTGCCGTCGCGTTTCAATGCTGGTGATGAAAGGTAAAGCAGACCAGAGGAGTTTGTAGCATCTTTTGGGGAAACGTAGAAATACTATTCCAGTGTGTGCGTTGAGGTATTTAACTGAAATAAATACATAAAAGCCTGTTAGTCAACCACACACAGCATAAGAAAAGAACTGTATATTATTTATTAAGAGACAAGACGACAGGGAACAACAATTTTATCTCACCACATTTAACTAAGCTGAAGTTAGCTTCTGATTGGTAGTTCAGGAAAACTCTATTCCACCTAGATTTATTTGTGTGTGTACCATTTGTGATCAGCTCTAATAAAAAAAGACTATACACACAGAGTGTATGCCTGGACTAGATAATTCTATACTAAAATCAGGATCAAACACACACTTTGTGGTTTGTGAAACATTTATTCTATTTGTGAAAGTCCAAAGGGGTGATTTGAATTATTTTTCCCCATCTGAACACCGGAACCGGCCTCAAAACTACAGTAGACTCTTCAAATCCAAACTAAATCTAGACTGAAGTCAGCAACTTGCAAGCAGTGTTTAATATATGAATCCTTTGTTTTAATTGTGAAAAATTTAAAAAGGGAAAATTTCACAAATAGAACAAACATTTCACAAATCAGTAAATCAGTTTTAATATTTTTCTTCGAGTCTATAATAGTTTTGTCTAGATTAGAACTGTCTAACTATTGTAGTTTATTAACTTGACCTGGTTCAATAAAAACATTACATTTGCCACTTATTGCTGGCCGACATCTTTAACTCCTCCCTCACCCTGGAAACAGTTCCCACCTGCCTGAAAAACACCTCCATCATCCCAGTCCCAAAGAGCTCTGCAGTGACTGGTCTTATATCAGCCAGTAGCCCTCACCCAGATAGTCGCGAAATGCTTTGAAAAACTGGTCCTGACCCACATCAAAACAACCATCAACACCAACGAGGACCCTCACCAGTCTGCATACCACAAGAATTGATCAACAGAAGACACCATCTCCTCTGTGGTCCACACTGCTCTCACCCACCTGGAGCAGAAGGACTCCTACATCCATATGCTCTTTGTGGACTTCACGTCTACCTTCAACACCATGACCCTCCAAACCCTGGTGGACAAACTATTCACACTAGGACTAAGCCCCTCCATTTGCAACTGGGTCCTGGACTTCTTAACCAACAGACAGCAGTCTATGAGGCTTCACAACTTCTCCTCCTCCACCATAACCCTCAGCACTGTCTCCCCTCAGGGCTGTGTGCTGAGCCCTCTCCTGTTTACTCTGCTCACGTATGACTGTGCAGCTACCCATCCAGGCTGTCACATTGTAAAGTTTGCAGATGATACAGCGGTGGTGGGATGCACCACAAACAATGATGAGTCCAGCTACAGGCAAGAGGTGGAACAACTGGAGAGCTGGTGCAAAGAGAATAACCTTCACATCAATGTGAAGAAGACAAAGGAGATGGTCGTGGACTTCAGATTGGAACAAACACACCTACTCCCACCCCCTAAACATAGGAGGATCTGTGGTGGAAATAGTCTCCAGCTACAAGTACTTGGGTGTGCACCTGAATGACAATCTCAGCTGGAGCAACAACACCACCAGCCTGATCAAGAAAGCTCATCAGAGACTCTACTTCCTCAGGCGGATGAGACGAGCTGGTCTGGAAAGCTCAGTCCTCACCTCCTTCTACAGGTGTGCAGTGGAGAGCATCCTGTGCTCCAGCATCAACGTGTGGCATGGAGGCTGCACAGCTGCAGAAAGAAAAGCTTTGCAGAGAGTGGTGAAGGCTGCACAGAAGATGTTGGAGTCAGACTCCCCACCATCACAGACATCTACACCTCCAGATGCAGGAAGAGGGCCACCTGCATCATGAAGGACCCCACTCACCCAGCACACACACTTTTTGCCCCACTCCCCTCAGTCAGCAGACTGAGGCTTCAGCTTCAGGGTGGAAGCTAAGGAACAGCTTCCACCCTGAAGCTGTTAAGACTCATGAATCCCTAACCAGGATAATCACTGTGAAAAAAATCAATGTAATGCCACTTGATTGTTGATATGTGCTGCTGATTACCCATGTTGCTGATCTCATGCTGCTGTGTTCATTCGTACTCATCTGCTCACACAGACTCATGTTCGTGCTGCCGTTTGTTTTTGTTGCTGTCTTACTTTAGCGTATTACTGAGTTCATATCTTAGATCTTTTTACTGTTTTTCTTTACAATTTATACTTTTGTTGGATGTAACTGGGAACATGTGTACACAATTTCGTTCCACCACATGTACCACACGGGGTGCAAATGACAAATAAAGAAATTTTGACTTATTGAACTTTCGCACACAGAATCAATGTTTGACAAATAGTGTGTTAAGGATTGTACTTTTACTAATAATTGTTTCAGTCCAGGTTTGGGCAGTCTATGTATTGTATTTTTGAACAAAGCGTCCTCACCTGAAATGTTTTAATACCATTTTGAACATCTGAATCTGAATATAAGACTTTTAACATTTGTTTGTAGACACGTCAGTAAAAAAAATTTTTTTAATTTGTATGCCTCTTTTGTGATTGTCTTTTGTTGCCGTTGTTATCCACTGTTGTCATCACTCTTTGTTAAAGAAATCAGGTCTCTCTTGTGAATGAGTCCCTGAGGCTCAATGGGATTAACCTGTCTAAATAAAGGTTGAACGGAAAAAAAAGATAATGCAATATTTAACCGAGTTTTGTTCTGCTAATGTATATATTTGATCCTAGGAGGTGATATTAATACTTTTCCCACCAAGACTTACCGTAGAATCGGATGCTGCAGAGAGCTGCTCCATAGTCTCCGTACATGCAGGCCACCGCTGCCCTCACCGCCCCATTAACTGCCCAGTCATCCAGGAGCAGCAGGTCGCTCCTGTTACTCACATTCACCTCGCACAGCAAATATCTACCGACAGAAGGACGAGGAACACCACAAATGAACCGCAAATAGAGGGAAAAAACAAGAGATAAAGGCTTACAAAGAGCACATGTTTTACCTTGACTTCACCCGTACCATCTCTACTTCGTGGGAACTTCCGTCAACAAAACTTCCCCCCGTACTTTTACGCTGGCGCCATCTGGTGGACGTGAATGTCGACGCAGGGTGCGCTTGAAATCCTAACGGGGCAACACAATTTAGTCATTGTCTTCAATACAGTACTGAGCTGTTATCCTAAAAAAGAATATATTGAAAGTTAGTTTCTCTCCACAGACAGAGGAACTGGCACATAAGACGAATTTTCTCTATTTGACTAATACCATGCGTTAGTATTTTAATTTACACACAATAGGCCTCTTAAATAAAAACGGGAGGAGCTAAGCCTTAAATCATTCACACCCTTTTGGTAACTATGACAACCTCCATCGCTCTCAGCCAACCACAATGTAGCTTTTCTTCCTCGGTATACGTTTCACGCCATCTTGAAATTATACCCGCAGTTTGTCAAAATTCTCTCTCAGATTCCCCCGAACTCTTCCTCTCTTTGTTGCTGCTGTGTGCGGTATGAACAGTTCACGAAACAAACCGTCACAGGCAGTCAGCAAGAGGCAGACGGAGTCAGACAGCGGCCTGGAGACCAGTCACAGGGACAGAAAGACCGCTGCAGGAATGCTGAGGAAGCTGAAGTCGAGGCGCAGCAATACGGATAAGTGGCCTGTGGTCACAGAAGATGAACTCCGGGCTTTAGGGAAAGATATTTCCCCGGACCAAGTCCTGGGGCTGCGGGATGTCACGGAAGGTATCTAATGCGTGAACATTAATAGTGTTTAGCTTAGCATTGATGTTGAAGTTACACTGTGATGGGCAACAATGTGAGCTAACTGTGGCTAGTGCTAAGTGAGCATTATCTGTCAACTTCTTTAAAGTCCAGAGTACAAATGAATTTTATTATTGGTTAAATAAGTAGTGCTGTTTTTTATTGTTTAGATCCAGTCGAAGACAATAAAAACTATGTCACAAACAGGACTCATTTGTGCAACAGGCACAACTATGGCCAACATTTATTCAGTAAACAAAACAGAAGGTCTGCTGCCAGTTAATAGCCAGGTCCCTGTTTTTAATAATATGATTGTGATTTTATTTGTTTAGGTCTACAAACTTTTCAGAACTTGTTGGAAAAAAGTGTTTTTCAAAATGTTTTTAAATTAATGCAGCAGTGGGTTGAGCAGCATTAACAAGATCATCCATGATGGATGGATGGATGGATGATGGATGGATGATGGATGGATGGATGGATGGATGGAGGAAAAATACACTAACTTTTAACAAGAAAACAAAAGGTTCTTCTTTTGTGTTTGTCAAACTGTAACTCTTGTATTTTTGCATGTGCTACAGCAATGATCACAATCTTCAACTTTCCTGCACAAGTTCTAGTTTTCTGCAGATATGGTCCTCCTTGCTTTTTTAAGGCTCTTAGACATGTTCAGAAAAAATACATAACCTTTGCAAAATGGCATCGCAGTGGTGCGACCTGTTTTCTGTCAAATTGCAAATTTTCTATCCATTTCCTTCCATTAAATCCAATTTAAATGGGGGGTTTGTTCTTTTTTCAGTTATAACCCAGTTTTATTTTTTGCTAAAACAATTTTTTTCATTCAGTTCATCTACAGCCTTGCCTTTGCCAAGCAGTTAATCCATTGTTAGAAAAAAAAAAAAGACTAAAATTAATCTGGATTTTTGTCCTCTTTGTAAGTTTGCCGCCCCTGGAGTTGTTCTTACCTTTGGCAGCTGCCTGCTTTAACTCACCCCCACTCACCCACACCGTCACCTACTGACTCGTGTTTATGGCCGTTTCCTGGACCAGTTAAAATGGTATTGCTGGTATTGCTTACAGTACCTTCTCCTCAACTAAAACCTCACTACTGAAAGGTACAGAAGCTTTTAAACAAACGGAATGTGTTGTTGTGTTTTAATGCCCCATAACTGTTCACAGTGAAGGTTTGTGCCAAAAACCTTTGTAAAAAAAAAAAAAAAAAAAAGCGTGTTTAACAAAATAAGAGAAATTGTCTTGTCAGTCAGTTGGTTCACCGCTTGTATTTCTAACTTGAGTTCTCCTTTTATGATTCAGACTATCTTTGCAGACCTGAGGACAACATCTACAACGTTGACTTCACACGCTTCAAAATCAGAGACCTTGAGACCGGGACAGTGCTTTTTGAGATCGCCAAACCTCCAAACAGCGGTGAGTAAATGATTGACGCTTCCTGCGATGCGTAGGTTAAATGTAAGTTTTGAGAACCTCTTAATGACAGCGTGGTGTTCAGACACAGTTGTGCTGTTCAGTCATAACCTTGATGCTTTGTGCGGTCAGTCAGATACATTGTGACCAGTGGAACCTGAGTAACATGTTCTGTCTGGGTTACTTTTCTTGTTTACGTTTATATTTATTCTACCTAAAATGTTCAGAGCCACAGATGGGTCCAATGCTGATGTAAAGATGTTTCCAGTTTTGCTTAATTTTACTGCATGATGTGGTTAAATATTTTAAGATCACATGACCTTAAGATAATAATAAATGCTTCAGCAAACAGAAGCTTTGCCGTCCACATTTCAGCCGTGTGAGAAACGATTAGTTCCAATTACTGCTGCTAAATGCAACTGAATCACACACCTCGTTTTACTTTATTTCATTTTTTCCCCTCGCTACTTCATTTTTTTAAGCTTGTTTTTGTTGAACGTTAACCAAAATATTATTATGCTAATGAAATATCTTGTGAACGGCTGGATAGTTTTTAATGAAACCCTCCAACTTTTCATCAACAACTCCCAACACCATGTTAGTTTAGGCTTTGGCATGAAAGGTGGCGAACGATTTGCGTTGATTTAACGAACGCTAGGCTTTACATTTGTGATGCAGCTTCTTAAATTGTACTTTTTCTGTGACTGTGTATAATAGAATATGAAGTGAAATCTGCAAGTGTTAATGTTTCCTTCAGAACTGTTCGGTCAGTTCATTTGAGTTTTTAAACTTTACTTCAAACCAAAGCTAAATCACTGCTTTTTTAGGAAATGTAGCTGACGATGAGTCGAATAATAATTTGTTAAATACGACCACAGTTCTTTTTTTGGATTTGCCAGTAGTTCACATAGTACCTTGATGGCATTGAGCTGATGGTGTTATGTGTTAGGTCATGTGGAGAAAGAGGAGGAGAGTGGAGGTGTCGACACCAGCGCGGGCCGTTTTGTCAGGTATCAGTTCACACCAGCCTTCCTAAAGCTGCGCACCGTTGGTGCAACGTGAGTAAATGATACTCTTTACCTTCGAAGTTTTCTCCTCACCCGTCTCCTCGCAGTCTGTGTTAAACTGCGTCTCCTTCCTGACTGCAGCGTTGAGTTCACGGTCGGTGACCAGCCCATTAACAGCTTCCGTATGATCGAGCGGCATTACTTCCAGGGACGCCTCCTCAAAAACTTTGACTTTGACTTTGGCTTTTGCATACCTAACAGCCGCAACACGTGCGAACACATTTATGAGTTTCCACAGCTTCCAGATGACCTCAGTGAGTTTTTCTGATCCGTCTCATCATTCAGTGTTGGGTCACCTTTTTTTAAACTCAATAACTTACATGTCAAATCTTTGTTTCTCTCTCTCCTGTTCCAGTTCGTCAAATGGTGGAGCACCCCTATGAGACCAGATCAGATAGTTTCTACTTTGTGGACAACAAACTAATCATGCACAACAAAGCAGACTACGCCTACAATGGTGGGCTGTAATATGTGAAGGGAGAATTGGATCCATTACCTTCCAGTGGTTAGATTTCCTGGATGACACTTTCATAGAAGAAAAAAACAACTTTATTTTGGGGGCACAGAATTTGATTTTTTTTTTTTTTTACGTGACTAAACAAGAAAAACAAGAAGCCACCTCTGCTGAAACTGGAAATCATGGATCCATTTGACTCTGGGACCCAGAGGGACTTTGTTTTCATAATTTCTGTTATTTTTGACTGAAGCTTTTGTCTTTTGTTGTTTTAGTTTGTTAAACTATCAAGTTACTGCTTGATCACTAAGAGTGCTTGTTGTCTCTTCTGGATGGGGAGACAGAACACCCAGGACAAGTCCTGTAAATTGGGTTATTTAGAATATAATTTACAGTTTTCTGTGTTTCTTTTGAAGTACCTTTTTTACAAGTGACGACTGGGTTTCATGTATGGAAAAGCAAGCGTATCTAAATATTTTTCAGTATCTTTAGTTATGGAAGAATATGTAGCATTTTAGACATTAGGTGACACTTTTTGTCACAGAGATCTGTTTTTATAGTGTATCACGAACTTGACCAACCTCCTTTTTGATAGAATATATTTTACATTAGGAACTTTGTTCAATTTTCATAATTTCATATGCTGTATTCATACTAAAATATGTTGCCTAATTTACTTTTTCCATTTGTTCAGTCTATCAAAATCTTGGCTATTAAAGTCAGTAATCCCTTACACGTCTTGATCTTTATGCCGTTTCTGTCTACAACCATTTGATACATCTTGTTTATTCCCTCCCTTGTGGTTGATCTGTTAGTAATTAGCCCATTTTTACATTTTATTTGGCAACACCGCATTGTGAGCCTTCAGTTTCAAGCAGAGTTTGATCATGAATGTGGTATACGTTTACTCTTGATTGCTGTTTGTGTTCTGATGTGCGCGCCGGTTCTCAGTTTACCGATGACGTACCACAGCAGCACACGACGAAACCACAGAGAGATGTAGCTCAGTAACCGATCTATTTTTAATGAGGTGCTACGGACTGATGCAAAACCTGAGGTTCTAGATTTTAGCAACTTTTCTCCAAATTATATTCATCCGTTCAGTCCGTTGTCACTTTGCACTACAGTCCCGTAAAAGTTCTTGTATTCGTTAAGCTTCTACTTTATAGAAATGGCGCTAAATTGATTTATGGCCGTTTACTGTGGTGCTGTGTTGAATTAAAGGTGCTCCTAAAAGACTGGAATGCCTACAATTCATTAAAACAACATTCATGTAAAAAGTCCCATCTGTAAAGCAGGAAAGTGCCTTGAATGCTGGAGTTAACGTGTTATTTTCTTGTTTTATGCTGAGAAACTTTGACTAAAGAGAAATGACGGTGGCAAGTGACAGTGACGTTAGACTCCTCATTTTACCGCCTTTGTTACATATATCGCCTTGTGTTGGTGCCTTGCGTACAATAGGGAGTTTCCCCAGCTTAATCTGGACATTTCATTTATTATTTACATTTAGAAGATTGAGATTCCTAACATTTGGAAAGGGCACACTTCATTGAACTGGCCATTATTAGGTCATTATTAACCTCAGAGGATCAGTCAAAATGTCCTTTTTGCATCATTGCTTTTATAGTTCACATTTTGATAGTTGAACTTAGGTGTATGTTAGGTGGCTACTTGGCAACACTTATGGTGGATCTGGGGAGACTTTACTTACTTTTGTCATTCAGTATGAGTAGCAGTTTATAAAAATGTTTAAAGAAGTGCATATTACTTTTAAATACCATATGCACTATAAGACTGAATGGACTGAAGTTTTCTTTTTCCATTACCTGCTGCATGTTGTTCATTTTTTATATTGTCTGACTTTACAAGTGACACAAAAATGTGTTATGAGAATTGTAAATAAAAATGTTGAAGGTTCTTTATTGTCATTTGCATCACATGTGGTACATGAGGTGGAACAAAACTTTGTACTCAAGGTCCCAGTTACACCCAAAAATAGCAAAAATATAAAGTATATAAATAAACGGTACATAAGGATTTAAGATATACGCTAAACGAATGCTAAAATATCTAAGATATATGCTAGACACTAATGTAAAATAATATGGTATATTTGGGGGGTATTCACAGTATAGTTGGGGGAATGGTGACGCAGAGGTTAGTGAAGATGGGCCTGTGATCGGAAAGTCGCAGGTTCGACTCCCTGTACCGTCAACATCAAAATGTGGGTGGAAAAGGTGAAACACCCACATGTGCCTCCACCCTCATTTGCCCCACTCTGGGCCCATGAGCAAGGTCCTTAACCCCCACCACTTGCTCCCAAAAACGAGTCTCTCTTGAAAATAAGTTGTCGGGACTCAATGAGTCAATGATTTATACAGGTATATTTACCTGTATAAATAAAGGATAAATGAAAAAAATAATAAATTTAACAGCAACCTGAACATGAGTCTGTAGTAGTGAGCAGTGGGTATGAATACAACAGCATAAAGGCAAAAGATCAGCAGCATGAATAATCAGCATTACCAGGACCCCACCCTGGAGACAGGCCTGGGGGAGGGGCTCGTCGGCGAGCGCCTGGTGACCGGGCCTCTACCCATGGGGCCCAGTCGGGCTCAGCCTGAATGAGCAACATGGGTTTGCCTTCTTGTGGCCCACCACCTGCAGGAGGGCCCATATGAGTCAGGTGCATGAATCCATGGGCATTGGCCGAAGGTGGGGGCCTTGGCGTTCTGTCTGTGGCTTACCAAAGGTGGCTCTTGGGACATGACCTCTTTGATGGGGAAGGAGCCTGAGCTTGTGCACGAGGTTGAGACGTACCGACTAGATTTAGTTTGGCTTACTTCAATGCAAAGCATGGGCTCTGGAACTGATCTCCTTGAGAGGGGCTGGACCTTATTCCACTCTGGAGTTGCCCAAGTTAGAGGCGCCGAGCTGGTGTGGGTACTCTTAGCCCCCTGGCTTGGTGCTTGTGTGTTGGAGTTTTCCCTGGTAGGTGAGAGGGTAGTTTCCCTGTGCCTTCAGGTGGGTGGATGGAGTCTGACTGTGCCTATGTGCCGAATGGCGGTTCAGGGTATCCGGCCTTCTTAGAGTCCTTGGCGGGGGTGCTGGAAGGTGCACCATCTTGGGACTCATTTATTCTGCTCGGCGACTTCAGTGCCCACATGGGTAATGACAATATGACCTGGAGGGGTGTGACAGGGAGGAGCGGCCTCTGATCTGAACCCGAGCGGTGTTCTGTTGTTGGACTTTTGTGATAGTCATAGTTTGTCCATCACAAACACCATGTTCGAACATAAGGGTGTCCATGCATGCACTTGGCACCAGGACGCCCTAGGTCGTATATCAATGATAAACTTCATAGTCATGTCATCTGATTTGCGTCCATTTGTTTTGGACACTCGGGTGAAGAGAAGAGCTGAGCTGTCAACTGATCACCACCTGGTAGTGAGTTGGATCAGATGGTGGGGGAAGATGCCGGACAGACCCGGTAGACCCAAACGTGTAATGAGGGTTTGCTGGGAATGCCTGGCAGAAGAAATATCAGAAAGATCTTCAACTCCCACCTCTGGGAGATCTGCATCCCAGCTGAGGCAGGGAACATTGAGTCCGAGTGGGCCATGTTCTGTGACTCAGTTGTTGAAGTGGCTTCCTTGAGGTGTGGCCGCAAGGTTGTTGGTGCTTCTCACAGTGTCCATCCTTGAACTCGGTGGTGGACAACCTGGGTTAGGGAGGCTGTCAAGCTGAAGAAGCAGTCCTATCGGTCCTTGTTGGCTGTTGGAACTCCGGAGGCAGCTGAGGAGTACCGGAGTACCAAACGGTCCGCAACCTTGGCTGTTGCTGAGGCAAAAGCTCGGATGTGGGAGAAGTTCGGTGACACCCTGGATAATGACTCCCATTTGGCTCCGAGGAGATTCTGGCAAACCATCAGGCGGATGAGGAGGGGAAAACAGCGCTTTACTAACACTTTATTCAGTGAAAGTGGAGTGCTGTTGACCAAAACCTGAGTCTTGTCTGTGTTCAACAGGAGAAAATTAAGGGTCATCCAGGTTTTTATGTCTTTAAGACGTGCTTGTAGTCTAAGTAACTGATTGGATTCATTGGGTTTAATGGACAAATATAATTGTGTGTCATCAGCATAACAATGGAAATTTATCCCATTCTGTTTATTAACTTTACCTAATGGAAGCATATATAAAGTAAATAGTATTGGCCCAAGCACTGAGCCCTGAGGAACTCCATGACTAACGTTGGTGTATGAAGAAGATTTATTATTTACATTTACAAACTGGAATCTATCAGATAGATATGATTTAAACCATCTTAGAGCCGTTCCTGTAATCTTAATATCATATTCAAGCCTCTGTAGTAAAATATTGTGATCAACTGTATCAAATGCAGCACTGAGAATAATTTTATTTATAAAGAATCTCATGAAGTCATCACTACGTATAGTTGTAGGGATACATGGTTCAACAGAAATGGGACTTTTAATTAGTCTAGCAATAGTTCTAAACAGAAACCTAGGGTTATTTTTATTCTCCTCTATTAAAGATGAGTAATATAAAGTTCTAGCTTTATGGAGAGCTTTTTTATATGTTAGCAGACTATCTTTCCAAGTTAAATAAAATTCTTCAACATTAGTAGAGCGCCATTTTCTCTCCTGGTTTCTAGATGCCTGCTTTAAAGTACGTAACTCAGAATTGAACCAAGGAGCCAGTTTCCTCTGAATGATTACTTTCTTTTTCAGTGGAGCAATTTTATCAAGTGAAGTTTGCATTGAAGTTGTAAGATGATCAACTAGATGATCTAAGTCACTGTTCTCTGATGCATTACTCTGCAAAACAGAGGAAAACATTGATGGAAGAGATTGTTTAAATTTGGTTACAGCATTTTCTGATAAGCACCTGCTGAGATGAAATTTACTCTGTGACTGTGTAGTCATTTAATGTAAACTCAAAGGTTATTAACAAATGGTTGGACAGAATAGGATTTTGAGGAACTATTACCAAGTCCTTAATCTCTACACCGTAGGTCAGAACTAAATCAAGAGTGTGATGGTAAGAATGAGTAGATGTGCGGACGTTTTGGGTAAAACCAAATT